GGTTTGCCTGCCGGCTTTCTCAGAGCCCGCTCTGGCTCCGCCCCTTGCACTCGCTGCAGCTGGGTGCGGCGGCTGATCTGCTTCCCGCAGGAGCTCATTCCCCTTGTCTCTCCTCATCAGCCGCCCTGCTGCCTCGGTGGGGCCGCTTTTTGTTTCTTCCGGGAGGTGTCCTCCGCCCCCGCTGCTCTGCCGCAGCCGGATAAACGCCCGGCTGATCACCCGTGCCGGCGTCCTCAGCGTACGCGCCTCCCTCAGCTCTTCCAGCTTAGCAGGAGGTAAGTATGACTCCTTGCTGCCCCGGGGTTCCTTCGGTGTCCCAGCTCCCCTGGGACAGGACCCAACTCATCACCAGGGTTGTCTCACCACCCTGAATACACCTGAGTGATGTAGAAAACCAGGGCCGGAGCAACGGAGAGGGGACGGGAGGCAATGCTGGAGGGTGATTGAGCCGACCATCAACTGGCTGTCTCAAGAGGCTGACGCGTGGCTGGGGTGTTAGGAGAGGCAGAGCCCCAAGAGCATCCGCTGGTGACGATGCCTGGCACGTTCACTGCTGTAAGAGGGAGCCCCACTACTGAATGAAAGATCCCAGACGTGGCAGGCGAGTATCAGGATATCCCTCAGGGAAAGCACGACCCAACATCACGGCAGCAGGAACAGCCACCACAGCAGACCTTGGGTGCCCACTCCAGGGCTGCCAGAGAGAGACTCCATGAAGCCAGGCAGGTACAGCCTCTGATTTAGGTTATGAGAAAACAGCAAAAAAAGGGTAGATCTTTGTGGAAAACAGCACATACGCTAGCCATTCAGCAGAATTGATATGGTACATAATTCATATGGCATATTGGAATGACTGGGTCACTATGAATCTTTCCTTTGAGACTTTTGTTCTTCTCCAACACTGGGAGTAATGGGGCTTTCAGGTTAACTGTATCATCTATGGCTCACAAATATTTTGAAGACTACTAGGGTCTTGGCACATGAAAGTTGGTCACGTATCATCTTGCACTCTCCACTTCTTTCCATGAGAATTGTGGGTAAAGTAGTAAGTAATAATTTAATCAAAAGGCACATGTCCATCACTATTGTGTCACTGATGCCCTCTAACTCTGTGGGCCATACCCAATGGCTCCATGGGCTGTATCTGGTCCATAGGCATTAGGTTGCTGCACTAAGGTTGTTGAAGCAAGTGTAAAAACACTCTCACTCTATAGCAGGGCTGCATGCAGCCCACAAGGGGTTAATTTGCAGCACCCAGGATTCCACCATTTGTCATTTTCCCTTCTGTCCCCCCACACCATTGCTCCGACTGCTTCAGCAGCCAGGGCCTCCTTCAGCTTCTGCTTCCTGCTCCTGCCCCAGCACTATTTATGTTACAAACTGCAGCAGGAGAGCCCATGGTCAGGGAGCTGAGGGTCAGTGCTGGTGTATATGTATGTGGTGTAAAGCCTGGGAGGCCCTTGGCCCATGCTGTTATAGCCTGGGTTATGTGTAGCCCCTAGCAGCTTAGGTGCTGGACAGACCTGCTCTACCAGATGTCCATCAACCTCTAATTCAGAAATGCACAAAAGAAATTTATCTCAAAATAAATGGAGTAGTTAGATAAATTAGAAAAATCTATCTTTGCTACTGAGAAAGCCGAGTCAGCCACTGAGATGGTAATCCTTCCCATCAGGGATTTCTCAACCTTTTTAAGTTAGACAGTCGAAAGATGCAAATTCAATTAAATAAACATGCCTTAACATCCCTTTTCACTACTGTCCCCTATTCTTATGTTCAAATTAACTTACAGATTCCTCTTCCTGAGAGTTTAAGATGATCAAACTGCTGTTGTATTAGCAAAGGAAAAAAAACCAACATTTAGAGTCAGTGCACCATATTTCCAAACAATTATAGCTTCTATTTGAAGAGCCCCAGTGATAAGGGAAGTAGGGAAAAAACAAATAAATAAATTATAATAATAATTATTATTATTCTTAAAAATAAATATGGGTTAAAACATGAAATTCGGTGGAAACCACTGTACTTTAGTACCCTTCTTTTCCTATCTACCCCCTGGGCTGAGATCATGTATAAGGCATGTGCTCACACATAAGATGCTTTAGTTGCCACTGCAGCAATTTATTGGTCAAACAGAAACATAAGATACAGAAAGGTTAAATGTCAGTAGCTCTTACATTTAATTTAATGTCTTTCATGTTAAAATTTGTACAATGTATAGATACAATTAAAACTTTTAAAGCTGAGGTCTGTATATTCGTTAAAAACTCACATGCATCTCCAAGCAGAAACCACACAGAAAGTTTTGTTTAACCCCCGCTTTGGTAACAGTGTTGCATTACACATTCCTTTTTAGATGGTTTGTAGTATTCAATATCCTAAAAGAGAAATGGTATAAATGCTTTTTGATGCTTTGGATAGGAGCTGAATTTGGTCAGGTAGAACTTGTGGCACAAAATGGCATACAGTGATCAATTAAACAATACAAACAGCACCACAAACCACCAAATCAAGTTGTGAAATCCAAATGTGATGGATAGAGATACATATATTAGGAGTTCTGGAAAACAGTGAGGGCAAGAGACCCTCTTAAACCAGTCTCCAAAAGGAACAGCACAATTCAAATTTATGATGTTTCCTGCAATTAAACAGAATGAAGAAGAGTTAGTTGACAGAATATACATTTAGTAAACTTTAAATGTTAACCTGTAATTATGGAGTAGTGACAAACACCGGCAGTTCCCACAGAGTTTAGTGGAATCTGCAGGTGCTTACCACTTCCGAAAGTAAAGTGCCTCAGTACAGTTAAATCAGCCAATATTTAGCTAGCTATATTTAAAAATGTTGGCCTTAAAACACTTTGCTCCCAATGTAGTGAAAGGACAAATTGAAAAACCATCTGTATAGTAAGCACAGGCATGGACAATTTTCATTTTGGCTTCAGGAAGTTTCTTACTCAGTGGCCTTGCACTATAAAAACCTCTTTCAGTCTCCACATTTGTAAATTAAGATAATACATACTTATCAGGGAATTACACTGATTAGTTAAATGTTCACAATACATTTTGAAGACACAAAATATGGTTTCCATGCAAGCATTATTTATTTTGTTCTGGGAGGCTAGGTTTTAAACTTTGCATGCTGCAATTAACTGGGTACAATAACCTAAAAATCTATTCCAGGCTCACTCACTGGAAAGTCTTATACACATTCCCTCACTGTGTGTATGGGACAATATTAACATTCACTGTGACATACATTTCTAATGGGGGGTGGGAAAAAACAGAAAGCATAAACAGTTCCCAGAACAGAAACATCTCACCTGATTTACTTTTTCGAAGATTACCTAGAATCACATGACATCTGTGTTGATGAACCAAAGCCCAAATGTACATTGTAATTCCCAGGATGTGATACCAGCTGATTTGCATCAACAAGCTTTTCCCTGATGAATACAAGACTAGACAGAGAAAATACATTAATCCCTACATCACCTCCTCAAAGCACTATACTTACACCTTTTCTTATCCCAAGAGCTTGTCCCAGGGTACTGTCCTCTACCTGAATTTCCTGAACTGTGCTTTTAAACCTTGCTTGTGCACACTACGAACCATACCTCAACATGGGACTGCCATTGCCTTCATCTGCAGTTGCCAAGTTGAGTTCTGCAAGTTATATCAACTTTACTCCTGCAGTTGATGATTTCATTAGAAATAAGAGATGAAACACATTACAAGGAAGGTGATCAAGAAGTCTGTATTTTAACCAGTTTTTCACAGTAACAGTATTTATAAACAAAAGCATTTTATCATGGTAAAAGACAGTGCCACAGCTCAGGTCAGAATACTGTTACTGAATAGCACTGGTTTTGTTTACATGCGTAATAAAGAAAACTGCTAGAATATAGACAACTCTGGCCTGCAAGACAGTTTTCACTGCATGGGGACTGGTACACAAACCTGTGCACTATCTCTGTGAAGTTTTAAGATTAGGAAGGCAGAAAATAAGCCAACCTAGAACTGCCTAGAAAAAGCTACATCTTCACTGAAAAAAGTTTCAAGAGTGGTGTAAAAAAAAAAGTGTGGAGAGCAAAAGATACTCCAGAGATCATCCCAATTGGTTTAAAAGGCAAAAGAGTTCTGTATCTAGTACAGACTGCTTTGGAAAAAACTTAGCTATGGGGAAGGCAGAGCAGACATTTTGAGCGTTTCGGTCCAGGAGACACCTGTGTGGCCCATCAAATGGTACCTCTGCTGCGGAACTTATTGAAAAGTGCTAGCAGAAATTGGTCACATAATTCAGAGTTCTGGTGTATTAATGGAGATGGAATTAGTTCAAATATTAGATTGAAAGGACACAACCTGAAATGGGTAGCTAGCTACCTGGAAAGTACACAGCGGATAGACAAAGAAGTTGGTCAACAGGGTCTGTCAGGCTTGTGCTTAAAGCAATGTCCCCAGCAAAAGAAAAAACTTCAGCTCACAGTAGCCATCTAGCCAGGGAAATATGCATCTTTGCTGAGCTAGCATCAACTGGGGGCTCCTTCATAAGGCTGAAGCATCTCAATAGCAAAATTGTGATATACCAGTCCTGAAAGCTTACGGGATGAGATAACTTTCAGGGAACAATAGCAACCAGCTGTATGAAAACTAATACATACACTTATCTCTGGTCTATGTGCAAATATAGGAGTGATCACTGACAGGCCAGGTCAGGCATTGGCGGCCTGATAAAATGACACATTCTAATGCCAACAAGCAGTTTTACCCATTTCAAATACCTTCTCTTACACCAGTTAGGTACAACTGTCTTCTCTAGGCAAAAATAAAGTATTTGGCACACAATCAGTTATGCACACATACTGCAAGCAAATGATCAAATCCTGTAAAAGTAGAACCACATTTAAAAAATGCAATTTCAGTACCACCAAAGAGGTACTCACCATTTCTGACATTGACTGGCACTTGAGATAGCACAGTTAAGCCAATGGCAATATAGTAAACAAGTCCAAGGCAGTAATATGAAATATAAATGACGTTATTGGAGAATACACTGATGCAGAGGCACTCCGTGAGTCTTTGAAGACTGTGCAGCCATAGCGGCAGGAGAACCAAGAGAACAGACAGGCATTCGTCACCTGTAATCAAGCATAAGTGACAGACTAAGCTCTCTTTCTCTCTTCGTAACACTTACATGTTTTTTTAAATCCCTACCTAGCATCTCTCAGCATTTTTAGGCCCCAAATCCTTCACATTTCTTGTAGGAACAAATCTCACCCTGTTCCCCAAGCCTGCATTTCTTTTATTCAAACTGGAAAGGGAAAGCATATTTTCTTTCTGCAGTTCTGTAAGCAGACCAGCGCTTCCAGCTAACTGTTCCTTCCAAGCTCAGCTGCTTGCTCTTTCTTCCTTAGGGCCTTTAACTGGCAGCTAATCACCCACAATGAGACTCCTACTCCAGAGCTGTCTGCCTCCCTTAAACAGCTAGACCATCCTATTATGGGTTCCCAGTCTATGACTTTGAAAAAGGTGGTCCAAACAAAGAAACCTTTCTCTATCTGCTAAATACACACAATAATTTGAAAGATGATAATTATGTCAAAACAGGTTTTGTGCACAACAAAACCCAAGTATTTGCATTGAGAGAAAAAGTATATGTTCATATCATCATTTATTTTAACATAAATACTGAAGATAATATAAATAACTTGCTTATTGCAGCACATAATACTGTTATATCGTTATAAAGCTTGAGTTCAACTCAGTTTTAAAAAGTTTTCTTCCTGATCCTGTAACACAAAAATTCATTCTCTTTAATGCACAGAATTTAACAGAAAGTTTACTGAAACTCTGCATTTTTTTCAAAGTTGTTTTAATACACTATTATAAGTTGAGACTTTAACGTAGACCTACATGATTTCAAAGTTATTATTTTAAAAGAGGGGTTAAAGAAAATGTATTTAATTTGAATATATTAAGTCCAGTTTTGTGATTTAAAAAAAATAAATAAGTGAAATCTATCTGCTTTGAAATTTCCTTAGTCAGAACAGAGCTGCACACCTATAAGAGGCTCATGTCCTCCATGGTAATGCTAAGCGAAAATAAAAGGAAGTCCAACTCTTTAAATTGTGAAAAAAACAGAATAAAGAACCTAATACATTCTAATTTTCTTGAAACCTTTTGTAAATCCTAAAACCAGTTTTAAAGGACATATTTTTTTGCTTTGCACATCACTTTGCAATCAGTTTAACTAAGGGATTGGTTTAGGAAGCCATCCAGACAGCCCTTCAATTACATTTTTCTGTTTAAATAAAGAAATGTTTACTTCTAGAAATGGACTGCAGCGCGATGATTTCAGCTGGAGACTTGGGATCTCCCAGCCCTGCCATTAGCTCACTGTGTGACCCTCAACAAGGCTACTTTGCTGTGCCTCCAGTTTTCCAATCTGCCAATGGTTTTAATATTCTCCTGGAGGTTGAGACACAAGGTATGAATATCATGAAATTCTGTGTTCACAGCCCTTCCAAATTTATGAAATTTGTAAATGAAGTGGATCCTTATTTAGAAATGTTCAAATACAATATTTCCTCACTAGCCCAATTTGAAATTAAGTTTATGTTTTCAGATCCTGTCCTTCCTTCTGGAGTGAGAGCAGGATCTGGGAGGAGACTTGGGGAGACCTGATGAACAAATACTTTATTATAACAGTATTCCATGTATAAACAACAGGTAGTTTCTTGCAAAGGAAAGAACATTCCTTCTGCTCCATTCCCTCAAGCCAATGGCTCTTTTGTCTACAAGTCCCTGCAGTATTCTCTCTGTAGCAAAACAATGAAGTCAACACCTATGCAGTTTCAAGCAGCAGGAGTATAAGGAGAAGCGGCAGGCACTAACCAGGAGCCACTTGCAAAAATGGGTAAACCTGATATAACCCTTAACCTCTAACACTGGACTATCCACCCTATTTGGTCTCACAGGCTGGATGTGGCCCCTCAGGCTTCTAAGTGGCCAGATGACCCACCCCGAACAATGGGGCAGCAGTGTCTTGTCAGTGTGGCTTATGGAGATCTGTTGTCATGGCTCCAGAACCCAAGGGGTGAAAACTGCCACCACTCACCGCCCCCCCCTCTGCCCCCCCAGTTTCTCCAGCCACTAATTTGAGTCACTAGAGGTGACTAAAAAACCCAAATTTGGCAGCGGGAGAAGTAGTGTGGTGCCAGTGTTCTTCATCCCTGGGATTGCAAAGTTGTATTAGCAAGCCCCAGGGCTGCAATTCAACCTTTTGCAGGCTTCATTCAGCCCATGGGCTACCAGTTGGACAGCCCTGATGTTATATATGGAAGGTTTGGTTAGTGAGTTAGATCTGTACCTGCTCACCCAAGGACCAACTTTTTCCTCTGATGATAGAAAATCTTTGCCCTGAAGTGAGTATACTTCCAGGGAAAGGGAAAACATGCATGTGTATGAGGGCACATGCTGCTGACAGCACCAAAAGAGTAAAAGTATCTGATTGAAAGCAAAAGACTTTACAGGAAGGTACCATCGCCAGTAAACTTTTTCTTAAGAAGTATAAATAGTTTTATTCTGAATCGTAGCAAAACCACTTGGAACCTAGTTTATACATTATAAAAAAAGAAACACTCAGGGATGAGTAGCTGATACAGTCTCCAAAAGTAACAACATAGCAGGAAAGTAGAGAGGTTCTGCTTTCCAAGCACTATTAAGCATGTTTGGACTACTTGCCCTGGTTCTGTGAAGACCCACTGAGAATGCTGAGCAGATCCTGAAGCCAAACTGGGAAAGGCCTTTCTAGGAACAGAGCTTGAATAAGAAGGAGCAGCAAAAAGCCATTCCAGGTCACAGAAACCACACAGAAGTGAGTAAACCACCTGTAGAAAGAAGAAGCAGCAGCATTAGCAGGGTTCTTCATAACACTCCTTTCTTCAATGCTGGAATTCAGTTCAAGGATCTCAGGGGAAAGGGTTCATTCTAATTTGACTCAGCCTCAAATGATCTAGGGTCCAAGTCCCAGTTTATGGAACTGGAATTACAAGATGTCCACTATAGCCTAATACAAAACTGTGGGCGTGTCCCGAGCACATACGCATGGTTTGCAGCGCTGCAAACACACCTGCGGAGACACAAACCACACATGCTGCACATGCACGCATTCATCATACTGCTACTTTGCAGTGCGGCATTTTTTTTTTTTACACCAGGAGATTCCATAGACATTAGAATTCATAGACGTTAGGGCTGGAAGGGACTTCGTCAGATCATCAGGTCCAGCCCCAAATCCTTGTGTCAAAAAAGTTGCACTAAAAAAAGTGGAGAGCCCACATGGCTGCAGCCTGTGCCACCCAAAACCAGAGCCTGGGCAGCCAGAGCCATGCTCCAGCTGCTGGTCAAGCTTTGCATGCCTGGATCACTGCAGCTGCAGTCCCAGGAGGCCCCCAGGTAAAGGTGCTGGCCCCAGCCTCCCCTACGCAACCCAGGGCAATTTGACATGCGCCACAGTGTGTGTGCAGGGGCATGCCCAGAGACAACTAGCAGTGGCAACAGGAACAAGTTACTCCCAGCCAGTTAAAATGGGAATGTTTTGTCATGTTGACAGTTCTCAGGTGGCAAGATTAATATTTCCGGATGGACAGTGGGTCTATTAGTTCATATATCTTGCAAGAGTGCTGGACTCGCATCTAGTGCTGACACTAGATCTGAGAGCAGGGTATCAGCCACTGAGAGAGAGAGAGAGAGAGGGAGAGGGAGAGAGAGAGAGTGTGGACATTGCAGGATGCTGATCTAATAGCTTCTCTGCTAGTAGGTTTAACTGTATTGCTATGAGCCTCACTGTATGGACTGAAACCCTTTGTGAGCTTACAGCTGACAGTCCTATCAGGTATTGGATTAATGTCACCCTCTCAGTGCAGTCTCTGAGCAAATAAAACAGCTGCAAAAGCATTTGCTAATGTAACTTGTCAAAATAAAATAGCACTTTCAGCTTAACCAAATGGAATCCAAACTGCAATGCCTGTTAGAAAGGCAGCTCCTGCTTAACCTATCTTCAGGTCAAAATTAATTTTAATCAGGTCTGAGCAGCTGACTCGTTGGCCACATATAGGTATTACATTTCTACTGGGAGAATAGCTGCTCTTCCAGTAGGAAGTGGGAGCATATAAGCATACATTCAATTCCTCCCAGAAGAAACATGTCCCACCCCCTGGGGACAAAGATATTCCAGGCTGGCATCCAATCTCCCTTGTGAGGGTTTCACTTGCAAGAATGAACACCTGTATGCTTGCTCCACTCCCCACCCAGTTTGGTCTGGGAGAGGAGTGGAACAGCTGTCTGCTCTGCACTTCTGGTTCCCAGTCCAGCAGGCTTTAATTGCCATGTTTTGCCCAGCTGGCCACACACCATGATTTAAAAGCTGGGAACCTGGGTCAAAGAAGCTCTCCCTGACTGCTTCCCTGTGCCTCCAGCTTTAAATCACTCTGTGTGCAGCCCATCACCCCCCCTTCCCAGGCAGGGGAGGGGATGTGCTGTCAAGTAATGGGCTCCCCTAAGGGCAGGGCAATCCAAAGAACAGCCCTCTAGTGCTCCTTGGCTGGAGAGCTCACCTGTGTAGCTTTCCAGCAACAGGGCTG